TCAAATACAATGATGTCAACGTATGTCGAATGCCTCCTATTCTTTGTCATTGTGAAACAAAGCAGAAAGGATGGGGGGGGGAAGTCTGTATTGTGAAACAAAGCAGAAAGGATGGGGGGAAAGTCCACTGCATAACTGCATCCTTAGCATATAAAAAGTGATGCTTTTAGCTAGAAAGTTTGCCAAAGGTGACTGCTCTACTCTCTCCCTGCCCAAGGAGCACTTAACATTGCATAAAGATGAGGGGGGGGGATCCTACTTACCTAGCGGATCACTAGGAAAGCAATTTTCTTGAGATCTTGTTAAAAAGTTGTTTTTCTCCCTGTTCATATAGCACCAGTATTTTGACTGTAATGCTACGATTGTGATTTCTTTCCAAATATTGCCATTGGTTATTATTTTCTGTAATACAATGTGCAGCCCCTTGTGTCTGTAGTAAGGTAAAGATAAACATTCCCCTTGACATTTAGTCCAGTCATGTCTGACTCTAGGGGGTGGTGCTCATCCCCATTTCCAAGCCGTAGAGCCAGAGTTTGTCCTCAGATAGTTTCCATGGTCATGTGGCCAGCACAACTAGACATGGAATGCCATTACCTTCCCACTGAGGTGGTACCTATTTATCTACTCACATTTTTACATGCTTTCGGACTGCTAGGTTGGCAGGAGCTGGGACAAGCGATGGGAGCTCACTCCGTCGCATGGATCTGATCTTACGACTGCTGGTCTTCTGACCTTACAGCATAGAGGCTCCTGTGGTTTAACCCACAGTGCCACCACGTCCATGTTTGTGATTTCCTTTCAAATATTGCCTTTGGTTATTGCACATTTTCTGTAATACAATGTACAGCCCCTTGTGTCTGTAGTACAATAGTGTATTCACTGTTCCCTACTGTTGAGACTGACCACTTGCATATTTTGCTCAGTGTTCTATACTGTGTTATAAAATTAGTCATGGAGTACATCTTGGAAGATAAAAGCCTTCATCAAGCTACTGAAATCCAAAAACACATGCCTAACATCAAGAAATCTCACTATTTAACTCACTGATTGGAAGCCAAGGCCAACATTCATAAATGGCTGTATATAAAGTTAAAAATCAAATACCTAATGCAGGTATTTTGTTACTTAACCTTGTAGAACTGTATTGCTAGAATCCAAGTGATACTCCTAATTAGAGTACACCCATTGAATCAATGGGATTTACACAAGTTTTGATTGTGAAGCATTCAAAGGGTATACCGCTGGGATTACTAACAGAATTCTAGTCATAAAAAAACTAGATACACACACAAATCAAAGGTGTTCACACATGTAAGTGGGGTTTCTTAAAATTACTAAGTACTTGTCATATGAAAATTGAATTTTTGTAAATTAGAGTACACCCATTGAATCAATGGGATTTACACAAGTTTTGATTGTGAAGCATTCAAAGGGTATACCGCTGGGATTACTAACAGAATTCTAGTCATAAAAAAACTAGATACACACACAAATCAAAGGTGTTCACACATGTAAGTGGGGTTTCTTAAAATTACTAAGTACCTGTCATATGAAAATTGAATTTTTCTAAATGTTCTATGTAATAATATGTGGATGCTGACATATACTATTCCAATATGGTGTACTAGCTCATAGAAAAAACAACAGCTCTGGTGCACCACAGTTCTGTGATCTTAACAAGTTGGTAGCCACAACACAAGAGAGGTTGTTAGCAAAGCCAGATTTTATGAAAGTCTGCTACCATACCGTTAAACTGCTCACATGACACAAGTTGTGAAAATCAGGCAAGATATTTGTAGGTAGGATTTCCTATAGGACTCCAGAATGTGCCCAAGACAAACTATTTTACAAATCTTTGTGGTTTATATGGGACTGTTCCCAACAGAACAGAAATTGTATCTTTTCTCACTCACAGCCTCATAGCTACTTCAGGGCTCAGCTTGAAGAATATTTAGCAGTGAGGAGAGCAAAATAAGTACTGTTGCCATGAACAGTTGTGAACAGGTGTCTGTTCTTGGGACTCTGGACAGAGCCTTAAAATCTGTTCTGTACCAATATTTAAAATCTGTTACCTGCCAATATTAATTACAATTATATATACAATTAATAACACAGACCTCTGATGCAGATCTTTGTGCTCAGTTTAGCTTTCTAATGTTTAGGATTGCAGCCATACACCCCAATCTTTGTAACTGTTCTTGGAAGCAAGTAATTGTGCTCAATGGAACAATGGAGCACAACTAGTTACTTCCAGTTGTAATAATGAATTAATAAGTTTAGACTGTTCCTCTAAAGCAGTGGCTCTTAACCTTTGTTACTCAGGTGTTTTTGAACTGCAGCTCCCAGAAACCTCAGCCAGCAGAGCAGATGGTGAAGGCTTCTGGGAGTTGCAGTCCAAAAACATCTGAGTAACAAAGGTTAAGAACCAGTGCATGCTGCTAATTTAATTGGGAGAAACTACCACTGAAGACAATGAAAGTTACTTCTGAGTAGATATAAATAAGCATAAACATTCCTCTTGATAGCCAACTACATCTGTGGTTGCCTGCATCCTTTTGAATATACATCTAGACTCTATATATATGTGTGGGGTGAATGAGTACAACCTATTAAAGAGCTGAACACTCTGTATATGAGTAAGTATGTATGACTAAATGCAGTAATTTTAGCACTACAAGCCACAAAAGGCCTGCAGAGTGTCTGACAAAGACCAGAAGACAAGTTTCTGTTCTAAAAAATACAATATAAAAGGACAAAAAGGGAGAAGAGGTGGAAAATAAGAACTCATTCTGTAGTTCTTAATGACATAGCTCTTGCTCCTCAGTGTAAACAACTACTGTATAATCTCACTAGGCACACCATCCCTTTATAGAGCATCACAAGTAGTAAAAAAGAGTTAAAAAGAAACAGGTTTTGATGGTGCCAATACCACAAAGTGTACATTTGCAGCGACAGTCCTATCTAGTTACATGAGCCTTACTAATCTAATATAACTGATCTGAATTGGGGGTGGGATGTCTTGTTTAATGGGCGTGATTATAAACAAACAGGAGTTTTTCCTCTATTGAAAATGAAACTCATAACTACTTGGGAAAGAGTTCAGTTTACAAAAAGGGTCCATCACTGTGCTATGTTTCGAGTGAAGGAGGTGATCTGTTGTTTGACTAGACTTTTGATATATTGTTTAACCATAAGTTTTGTTTTAAATTGAAGCTATTTTCTTTTTTGGATATTTTGCTGCTTTTTGAAATGCAACAGCAGACATCTGCACTAGAAAAAGTCATCTCTTTACGGTACAAGATAATTTTTTTAAGCTACAGATGGCAAATGGTCAACATATCATATACAAAGCCCACCAATTTTCCCCCACCAGTTCTAGCTAGATCTCCAAAAAGTAGGAGTTGCAACTTGCTATTTAAGCTCATTTCTTAAAGAGACAGATCCTAATACAGCAATGAATTATTCATCACTTTGCCTTGTATAAAGTGTTTGTGCACTATTCAAACATTTTTGCCTCCAGGATCAGACACATTTCACCAAAACCTATTTCAGCTCCAAAGTTGGGCTGCTTTATATATTTTAACCTCATAATTGCCACTTCATTATTCCATTCAGTAAAAGGCATAAGTAGAACCTTCAGTCCTTCAGACAGCTGTTGAACTGTGAGGTGAAAATACTGTATCAGTTAATAACTGTTCAAAAAGATTGTCTAAAAGAATATTCTCTACCACTTGTTCTTACAACTTCTCCACCTTTACACAGTAACTACAACTACCATCGAATAGAGACAAATCAGCTGGCACAAAAACAGGATATGAAAAGAAATGAAAAAGTGAAATCTGATTCTAGATCTGAGTTACAAAATAATTATAGCCAGATGGAACCCAAAACAGTTCAAAGAAGGAAACTGAATAGATGAAGGCGCCCCAGCTGAGCTGATGGAGCTGTTTCTCCCTTGCTTCCGTTGCAGCCTGAAGGAATGGGGCGGAGGATGGGGAGACAGCTGTCTGGAGGGACGCCTCGACTCCCTTTCTCTTTAATACTGCCTGACAGTCATGTCGTTTGAACTTTTCATTCATTTAATGTGTTTTACAAGTTGGTTTATTCCTAAAGGTTGGGGAGGAGAGGGGGAATCCGACCAAGCAACAGGTTGTAATCAGGCCAGGCCGTACAGAGAGGAGATCTCACCGAAATCCTAGATTGTGACTGAGATTAAATTCGCCTTATTGTCATCCAGTTTGTTGACCAAGCGGACGGTGTAGGTCCAGCCCCGCGTCCGAAATTATCTCATCACCGGCCATGATAACTTGTAATCTTAAATTTGTTGACACCCCTTTCTCTTCTTTCTTGAGGGGACCCTCTAGCCTCACTCTCGCCCCTCCTTCCGAGCTACTGACGGACTTGAGTAACTTTTCCACCCCTCCCTTTTCCTCCCAGAGCTTTCAAAGTCTTCTTCCTCCTCCTCCTCCTCTTCTTCTTCCTCCTCCTCCCGCCAGCCTGCCACATCCTCCGTCGCCGTCGCTGCTGGCGTCAGCCGAGCGAGCCTGGGCCGCCATATTGAAAAAGAAGAGGCAGACACTACCGCCGCTGCCGCCAGAGGAACCGGCGGGGCCCCTCTCTTTCCCCCTCCCTTCCCTTCCCTTCCCCTCCCTGACGGTTCGTCGCCCGTCGCTTGGCAGGCCGGTGGGCCCGCCGTCCGTCCGTCCTCCCTCAGCCCCGGCGCGGAGAGTCGCACGGGGGGGACGGGGGAAGAGAGGGAGAGAAAGGCTGCGGCCACTCGGGGGGTGGTGGGGGCTCTGCAGCACGGCCCGGCCGGGTCTTCCCAGCGCTTCGCCTGCCTCCTCCGCCGCCATGACTTCCTTGACCCAGCGAAACTCG